ATTTTCAATTAGAACTCGAAAACTAAGCTTCGGAACAAAATTTTGTAAAAGGAAAAATCGTCTCAGAATTCGCTCAAGAATATGGCATTGCAAGGACATCAGGTTATTTTGAATCACCCTGTATATATAACACTTACGAATAATAGAGCCCAGTCTCTTCGCCCACTTTTTCATCTACCTCACAATATATCGTTGTTTGTGCTCCTTGCACCACATTCTTAAAAAACATCCATGTAAAACAATTGAAAAGTTTGTCCGCACCATAAAAAAAGGTGTCGCCGCTATAACGTGATATTTCCGTAGGTATAAGACCAGGATGTAAAGCGTAAACATTTATTCCTCCTATCTCTGCCTCTGGAAATCAAATATTAATTAGTATAAATTTTTTAATAGCCTTCAGACTTTTTTATAGTAATTCTATATATTTTATTTATAATTATTTTAATATTTTAATAGTAATTGTATGCAAACATATCATTGCGATTTATATTTATTAAATTTTATAAAGTATCGCAATCTTTTTACACTATTTTACAACGTATCATATATTGATAGTAAATAATATAATAAATGATTAAATAATTTTAATCTTTAACCAATTGTTTATCAATAATTTATCCAATCTTCTTTTTTCACTTACTTGCTAATTGATGCGCGAGTTCTTTAGTAAAGTAATAACATGAAATATATTGTAGTTATATATATATAGACACTTACGATATATCAGGTCACGATAATTTGTCAATAGTTAATACGCTCGTAAAATACACACGGTGTAAAACACACGCTAACTCTAGACGATAACTTTAAGTAAGAGGACGTGCACATTGATGCGCTTAAATTATGCAACGCGTCACGCATTGGGATGCAATGTTTTTCTGAAGTGAGAAAGAAAAACGTTTGGGACACTTCATATATTTAGTAAATAGAATATTTGCCAGTTTACTCTGTGCATAAGCTTTCCATGGTCTATAAGATTTTTCCAAATTGATATCATCAAAATTTATATTGCCAACTGTTAAAGAAAAGGATAATCTGTGTTTTTAATGGCAGCAGGTATAAAAAATGTTGATTTCATGAAATTACTATACCAGCCTAAAGTTTAATATTTTCCTTTACAAATAAAGGTTAGTCAGCTGAAAATTACCACATAAAATTATATAAGATTTTCAATAGAAACTAATTATTCCAATTTTATTAATTATTTTACATAATTAGTTAAAAAACTTGTTGCAATTTCAAAGCATTTGCTCTATTCTATGTATTTGTATTTGCATATATATTCTATGTCTTTTCTGTTAGTCCGCATTGCAATATGTATTCAAACTTACACCAATGCGCCACAGACGATACGTTAATTATCCTGCAACCAAAACCAGATAATCGCAATTTCGGTAATAATAGCAGCGTTAAAAGAAAATGTCCAAGATGATTCGACTGCAGGTGCATCTCGTTTCCGTCCTCGGTTTTCTCGGATGGATACATAAAAATGCCGGCATTGTTTATGAGAATATGAATCACTGGTTCTTTTGCTAGTAAATTCTTAGCGCATTCTCTTACACTTTGGAAACTGCTGAGATCCAGTTGGTAAACCGCGAGATCACCTGTCTTATCCTTCAGCTGTTGCCCATCCACTCTTGAAAGAAATATAAAATTACCAGTATTATTTTATCCAGCAAATAAAACGTGTAAACTCGAATTTTTTTACATTTCTGTAAAATAATTTATAAACCATAAATATTTTATTATTATTTATTACTAATAATATTTTAATTACAATTTGCGATTATCTTACGATTTATTAGAGTTATTAATGTAATTTTGCTTAATGTTTCTAAATATACATTGATGCAAATTTATTTTTAAAATACAACATAATGCTTTATTTAGAATCAATAATAACTGAAATTTACACCTTATTCATTGAATCAATTCAAATTGATAATTTAATTATTAATATGTAATTACATGGATATAATTTTTGTATTTACTTTGAAAATGAATTTCTCTTAATGTCGTCCACTGCGGCGTTTGCCTTTTCCATATTACGACAAGCCAAAATCACCCTGGCACCTAAATGCAAAAATGTTATCCATGTTTAAATATATGTACCTTTTGCATTTTTAATTTAAGAAATCATGGTCAAAAAAAGTGCGGAAAGTGATTAGTTAATATGTATTATTATATGTATATATATATCAAAATAATCAAAACTTATCAATAAAGCACTCAATTTTTTTCATATCGCAGCAAAAAGTTTTGATGATCCAAGATTTGATCAACCAAGATCGAAGGCTCTATTGATAGATTTTGAATGATCAACAGAATTTATATTCAGATCTATATCTGGCTCTATTCATAGATATTTCAGCAAAAGTGTTCTTTCCGTGTAAAATTCGCTCTCACTTCCTCTTCGGTATAAATCTCTGGCAGTCTCCTTGCCGATTTTGGAATTTGCTCCGGAATTTGCGTTATAATCACTGTTTTGCCATCAAGACGCAATTTTGCAATAGTACGCGCCGTACTATTGCACAAGGTATTAAAAGGCCACATTTTCTATATTATGTTCAACTCTCGACACCGCTGATGTGCTCTTAAAAGTGACTGGTTAAAATCAATAGAAATAATTCCACTGCAAATTATTTATTAATATATAAAAAATTTGGTTATATTTCGAAATTCATTAGCATAAAATAATTAACATAATGTACTCACAAAAAGAGCCAAACTTGCAAAACGCAAGGGTTGAATTAAAGTAGTAAACTTGAGTACTGTTGATCGTTTTATTGGTAGTGAAGAGCACACACTTAATGTTCGGCAAATGAAGGTTTATTACAATAAATTTAGAGTAATATAAAAACGTTCAAAAGAATTCGTAGCACTTGAATATAAAAATGTTGATTATCAAAACTTTTCTAATTTAACAGACAAATCAAGTGTTAAGACTTTGCTGACTAGGTATTCAAGTACACATCATTTTAAATATATACATATGTATTTGTCAGTGATTATGTTATAAAATTACACAGATATTTTAAAAACCACACACATTTGTTATATTTATAATGCAATTGCAATTGCATGACATTGCTTTTTTAATTATCTGGTTCGGCACTAAGATTAACGAAATCTTTTACGCATTCTTGTGCTTTGTTCGGAAAATTTCTACAACAAAAATAATATTTTTTTTTATATATAGAAAATGTGAACATAAAAATTATAATTTCACATTATGTATTAGTTGCAACTGTTTATGTTTTATTATATTTATTTTGCAATTTTATTTGTAAATATTATAATTATTATTAATATATATTGATTGAATCGCTATTTATGCTATTTACCTAAATAACGATAATAATGGTAGCATATGAGAAGGTATACCCCTTTCTCTGTAATTTTTTCTTTGCGCATCAATTATTAATGAAGCAGCTTTTTTTGGATATAATGGACTTATTAAACTGGGAAATCTATATTGACAAAAATATAATTAAATTTAAAAAAATAATAATTTATAATATTGTTTCTGGTATCGTAAAAAATTTATTATAACGACATATTCTTAAATACTTACCTCATTACTAGCTTTTTAAGCATTCCGTTAAACACTAAAGTTGGGAAAACTGTAGTGAATTTAATTAAAGATTTTCCCTTACTAGATAAACGCAATTCTTCATTAAAACTCTCCATAAGTGCTGAAATATACATATCACAAGTGAGGATGTTATCGACATTAGCGGTAACATAGGTGCATACAAGACATGTTGTATTGCAGTAACGTTATTGAGTAGGAAATTATATTATGTTATTGTTGATTAGAGTGTTTGCTGGGATAATTATACGTTATAAATTATTTCAAATATTTATTAAATTATTATACAAAAGATTGTAATTTTTTAATATAAGTTGAATTACCTCTGACTGCGGATTTTGTAGGAGAGTAAACTGTCGCATACATTAACGTTACAATTGCTAATAGTGATGAAACCGCAACGACATGACCATGATTCTTTTCAATCATGCTTGGTAAAAATGCACGTAATGTCTGAAAATAATTTTCTATTGAATAATAGCAATAGCTTATTATAGTTTCTGTTAAGCTTGCAATATGTACTTCAATTACGAGTTAATTTAGCTATTTATTTCCAAACATATAATAATATAAAGCACATTAACAATTATTTCATACATTTTACAGCTTCTAAA